GTGGGTTTGAACCGCCAGGCTTCTGGTTAGCAGTCAAGTGCTTTGGCCACTATGCTACCAGAGCTCCTAAACCACTCATAACGTCCATCAATTTATAAAGAAACATGCTGGGAATATTGGTGTTTGGGAGAAATCCATATCTCTCTTCCCACATGGAAGCTGTGTGCTATGTTTCTAAATATTCTCACTCACACTTGAAAATTTGACCTCTGAGGAAGTCAAGTGCAAGGAACAGAGAATGAAATTTTGAGTCTTCATCCTCGTACCTCTCTCCAGGGAGCTCTAGTAGCGTAGTGCCTAAGGCATTTGACTGCTAACCAGAAGGCTTGTGGTTCAAACCCACCAGCCACTCCTCGGAAGGAAGGTTGGGCAGTCTGCTTCCATAGTGATACCACCTTAGAAACCCAAGGAGGGGTCGCTGTGAGTTGGATCCAACTCGATGGCACATAACAACAACAACCTCTCTCCAATCCACATACTCCACTTTTCCCTCCTTGCACCCTCCTGCCTACTTGAATTATGATTATTTTTGATCCTTTATTCTTTTTCTACGTGACTTCTCAAATCTGCCTCCCAAGTTATGTTCCTGCCTGCCACTTGAAACATATTCCCAGCTTCTGGAAAGAGAGGTCATTTCTTACCTTTAGACTATTTGTAAGCAAAAGGAGAAGAGCCTTTATTTACTTCACTGGGTGCTAATCAGTTGCCACTGAATGGACCCTGACTCTTGGTGACCTTGTGTATGGCAGAATAGAACTGTGCCCCTATAAGGTTTTTTCAGTGGTTGATTTTAGTGGACTCGCACCTCCAACCTTTTGGTTAACAGCCAAGCCCATTAAGTATCTGCACCACCCAGGCGCTCCCAACCAAACCCAAACCCATTACTGTCCAGTCGATTCCAACTTCTGGCAACTCCATATGTTACAGAGTAGAACGGCTTCATAGGGTTTTCTTGGCTGTGATCTTTATGGAAACAGATCACCAGGCCTTTCTTCCACAGTGCTGCTGGGTGAGTTCAAACTGCTCTGGTGGTGTACTCCCTAAGGCATTTGACTGCTAACTGGAAGGCTGGCAGTTCAAACCCACCAGCCACTCCGCAGAAGGAAGATTGGGCAATTTACTTCCATAGAGATACCGCTTCAGAAACTGAAAAAAGGGTCACTATGAGTTGCAATCAACTTGACGGCAGTGAGTTTGGTTTATTTATTTTTTTGGTTTTAGTCGAGCTCAAACCATTGGCATCACAGAGAGACCTTGCCAGGCATAGGCACACCTAGTCCAGGATATTTTAGGAAAACACATAGCTTTACTCACTGGCATCAGACAAAGGAAAAGCTCCTGCTTCCACCGGCAGGTCTCCTACATGCTTCCAAGGAGACCTCCAAGGTTTCTATTTTACTTTTCTAAAAGAGAAAAATGTGCACTACATAGATGTTAAACCTACATAGGTATTAACCACTATTTTTGTTTTCTTTTTCTGAATATATAATTAATACTAGCCACATATAACTAGGAAAATATATTAAAGCCTTAACTTTGCATCTTTTTTATTATTGGGAATGCCCTTTACTGACTAGGATAACTTGTGTGTATCTCCAGTTCCATTTATAATTGTCTTGCCCCCCTTCCCCCAGAGGTCTGAGAGATGTACTTAATTACCATTGATTCCATGTCTCCAAGGACTGAGAATTCAGACCATAGCTTAGGTGTAAAAGATGTTATAAAAAGCATTGTTGTTGCATTTCCAATTTGGCTAATAAATTGGCTTTAGGGAAAAGCATCCTTTCATGACACTTGGGAGTAGCTTGCAATTTGCTGATGTTGGACAAAGTTGAAGTTTCACTTTTGTTCAATTTTTGTCTTTCAGCAAATTATTAAATGCCACCTCAAGATCAAGGAAATCTCACCCCCCACCCCCACTCCCACCCCTCAGCTTTAAAAAGTCTTAGAGGGCTTGTAAAATACAGTGCAAAGGTGAAAGGAGAAATCAAAGGGCCTCAGATTTGAAAACTGGATAGATAATGCAGTTACCTTAGTTTGCGTTTAGAAAATCTTAGCATGGTTGATTGCTTTTTCACCTAACGTTGAGGTAGCAGGGAAATTCTGAGGTGAAAGCTACTTCAAGGAGAAAAACACTTAATGATTATAAATACATACTTGGAAAGAGAGTGTACAGAACCCTAACCACACAGATTGATCTGAGTGACTTTCTCTAATGCTAACACAAAGTATTCCCAGAATCTCTAGTAAAACCGTTTTTTCTTACTCAGATAGCAATGGCTGTATTCACGTAGTACATGATAGGTCCCTTTAACTATCAAATATCCCTCAGTACTTCAGAGACGGACACTGTGGCTTGATTCACTTTGTCCCCTGATGCCAGTAAGATTTCAGAACAACCTCTGATCCTGAATACCAGTCAAATTTGTCGGACGCAGAGCTGAGAGAAGAAAGCAGTTTACCTTTAGGAAAAGATGATGGAGTTCAGGTTTGGTGTTTACTATAGGTCATGAGACAACCCTACTAGGGTTCTCGAAGGGAAAGAAAGGATATTGAAAAGAATTTTCTCCCCAATTTGCACCATTCATGGTTTTATGTTGATTTTGCAGTGGATCTCTTGAGTCTGTCAGCTGCATGTGATGCCTTGGACCAGCACAACCTCAAGCAAAATGACCAGCCCATGGACATCCTACAGATCATTAATTGTTTGACCACTGTTTATGATCGCCTGGAGCAAGAGCACAACAATCTGGTCAACGTTCCTCTCTGCGTAGATATGTGTCTCAATTGGCTGCTGAATGTTTATGATACGTACGTACTGCCAGTTTTTGTCAAGATTTGAGACAGAAGGCTGAGCCTACTCTGAATGGTGATGGTGTAATTAGCATTGCAACAGGGTCCCAGTCTAGAGATAGGGCTGTCAGGATGAAAGCTTCATGAAGCTGTGTGACCTAATGCTGTCCTAGTGAGTTTATTGGAGTTGAAGACTATTTTTTAAGCTAGGAGGTAAGAGAGAGAATGTAGATTCTGATTAGAAAACAAAACAAAACCCTGAGCTACGACTTTGTCAAACAGAAGTAGTAATCAGTGTGCAGTCATTGATTCTGTCCCTTTCTGGCTTGCATAGTTTGGAATTCCCCTGTCCTCTTTGAGTGTCGCTCCCTTTTCACCTAGCTCCTGGAGATACTGGCACACCTGTCACCAGATCAGAATAGTCATAGCTGATACTCAGAAGGATTCTGCAAATTATTATGAATGGATACTCCAACCAAAATGAAAACTAAACCTTGATGCAGCAAACTCAGCTCCTCAAACTGAAGGCGTTTCTTTATTAATAATGTTTTACGAGTTGCGGTTTGGCACCACCATTCATCACTCTCTCTTAGAGAATAATTGGTTTGTTTTAGTTATTTCCCCCTTTGGATTGCACACAGAGGAGATCCCCAATTCTAATTTTTGTTTTAAGTCTAATGAAGACAGTTGAGGGAGGTAGCAGAAGGAATTGGTCTTGATTTGGACTGAATTATTCTCAGACCTCAAAATTATTATACACCTCATTTCACATGTCAACAAGAACATATTCCCAGTTGGAAATCTGGGAAGAAACTCTGAAATGAGTTGAATGCCAACAGTTTTTCCTTTTGCCTTCACTGTAGACTTCTACCACCTCCTTGATTAAAATGTACACCTTTTTTCTTTGTTATTTTGATATAAGGTATTACTTTTTAAATTCCAGAACCACCTGGTTATGGAATCCATCGTAATCATCCACCAAGCCCTTGAATGTGTTAGAGTTTAATTGTGGATTACATTTACATTTGTTTTGAGAAGGGTTCATATTCGGGTCTTACCTCAAACATAGTTTGGCACCATTTGCTTGCACATAACCTTTGAATGAATTCTGAATATTTAACTTTCCTTCTACCTGCCTGAAAATTGTTTGGGGGCAAGTTTAACTCCCTGAAGACCTGAATTACTGTATAT